CAAACAGGATACGCTTAGAGCTTGGTGATTGCTCAATACACGACGGAGTCTTCTATGTCAAGAAGAAGGTCTACATCCCCGAATCAGGCACCCTGCGCACCCGGATCATCGAACGCGTACACCGATCCTATTGCGGTGGCCATAGCGGCAAACACGGTAGCTACGACATGTTAAACCGCTGGTACTACTGGCCGAAGATGATAAATGATGTAGCACAGTACGTCAAGAACTGTTTGGCCTGTCGGAGATCGAAATCTTACCGCGATGGGAAACACGGGCTCCTACATCCACTCCCGATACCTGAGCGATATTGGAGTAGCATCAGCATGGACTATATCACGCACCTGCCTCCTTGCACCGATAACGGCCGCACATATACCAACGTCTTAGTGATTGTTGATCGGCTTAGCAAGAAGAAGAAGTTTATACCTGTGGTGGACCTAAAGGTTGATACCCTTGTGAAAGCCTTCGTCGAGTACGTGTGGCGTGAGGAGGGATATCCCGACAGCATCGTCAGCGACCGTGGAGCCCAGTTCCTCTCCCATTTCTGGACACGTCTTTGTCAACGACTGGGTACCAAGCCAAAGTTGTCAACGGGCTATCACCCAGAAACCGATGGGCAGACGGAGAACGCCAACGCTTGGCTAAAACAATACCTCCGGTCATATATTAACTACGAGCAAGACAACTGGGCTCTCTTTCTTCCTATGGCAGAGTTCGAAGCTAACAACGCCATCAACGCTAGTACTGGGACTACCGCTTTCCGCCTCACTAAGGGCTATGACCCGAAGTCTGGTCTTGAACCACCTAAGGTGAACACTGGTCTCACTGCCCCAGCTCGCAGAGATCAAGACAACGCCAACAAGTTTGCAGAAAAGCTAGACGCGCTACGCAAAGCCCTTCGGCTCGAACTACAATGGTCACAAGCTAAACAGGCGGAATACGCAAACGACGCCCGGCTCCCAGCGCCTGAGTTTAAGGTCGGCGATCAAGTTATGTTGGACGCCCGTAACTTCCGTACTACACGTCCTAGTCTATCACTTGACTTCAAGAACCGCGGTCCCTTCACTGTCACACGCGTCATTGACAATATGGCTTACGAACTACTCCTGCCTCCAGAGATGGGCAAGCTCCACAACGTCTTCCACCCGTGGTTACTACACTTACACGAGGAGGCTCCGCTGCCTGGTCAACTGCGCGATTCCGCACCAGCTGAGTTCGCCGATCCCGACGAGGAAGATGGTACAAGCTATGAAGTGGAAGCCGTCCTAGACTCCCGCGTCAACAAGAGACTTAAAGACCCCTACTCTCGCAGCGGTCTTCTCCAATACTTAGTGCGATGGACCAACTACCCCGCCGGCACCGACAACCCATCTTGGGAACCATACATGAACCTGGTGGACTCCGCAGACATTGTCCAACAGTACCATGAGTCCCGCCCTAAAGCTCCAGGACCACATCGAAAGTTTGCGACGCTCGCAGGCAAACAGGATTTACTTATGATTACAGTGATCGCATCCTCTAACAATCCTAAGCCTCCACCAGGAGCCCCGACGATACAGCAGACGGAGGAGACTATTGGCCCGCGTAGCTTTCGCAATACCGGCAACATTGCTGTTTAGGCTTACAGAAGCTTTTGCAAAGCAAGCTAGACAACTCTTTTTAATTACTTTAAGCGACGGAACCTGCTTTTTTTTTGAAGGGGGGGTAGTGTGATGGATCAAACCTACGATCCCTCACGCGATCACGTGCCATACAATCACGTGCCACGCTGGCAGTTGGCCCGTGCGAGGAATAATAAAGTTCCCCTCGTACTTGTATATAGATCTGTACACACAATCTCACTTATTAGAGGCATCCTAACTATTGCAGTGTACTAGTGCCTTTACAAGCTAAACGCGCGCGCAAAGTTAAAGCTTAACACTAGAAAAAAACTATCTAATAAGCTTAACAACGTAAGCGTAAAACCTCGCGAACACTCTCCTCTAATAATAAGCGTTAAAAACGCGCTAGCGCTGCTCAAGCTGGTGTTCAAACTCAAGATGAGCTATCTGCTGCACTGTAACGGGCGTGAGTCTATAAGACTAGCGGCACAACTACATGCACCACGCGTGCGCAAAAGACATGCACAAGTTGAATCAACGTGATTCAGCTTGCGTAGTTGATATTTATGTAGGAGGCATGACTGCGCTGCTCTCTCTCAGCCTACAGGTAGGCATACATGGGTCTAGCCCATCACATGCACCACCTAGAGTCACATCACTTGGCCGCAACGTTAACCTCCCACAAAAATTTAGATAGTACAAGTTAATCGCAAGCATCTAATTACTGCAACACTAAGTTCTTATTAGTATTGGGCTTTTGTGTGGCGTTGTACAACCTCGTTTTTGAGATTGAGCAGATGGTGTTCGCCGTGCGCGCTGCGCACGGGCACGGTACCGGTACAACGTTTAAGCGAAATGGCGCGAGTTTTGCCCCGCACCAGCACGCAGCGCAGCGCAGCGTACCTCCTTTTGTCTTTTTCTGAACTGCGCATTCCCTACAAAACGTCGCCTTACGACTACTGTCACTAAAGATAATTATCTTAGCCTCCTTTTCTCTCAACAAAGGCTCTGTATAATAACTACGGATTGACATTATCTACGGTGCCGCATTGAGCCAGAGTCCGCAACAATCAATTAGATCGGCATGATTGATTCCTATCTAAGTATAGCACTTTCCTAATCAAGTAATCACTAACCTAGGTAGGAGTCAATCATGCCGATCTAATTGATTGTTGCGGACTCTGCATTGAGCAAACAGAAGAACAGCGGACCCGTTCTAATGCAAGCTATAACAAACTAATCTAAAGACTGTTTCATTCAAAGATAAGATGACAGTAAGTGATTTTTTTTGGAAAGAGGTATTAAATTACTCACGTACGTTACCAGCCTATCGCTGCACTCCAAGCAGCCGCAATGCCCGAACTGTACAGTTCAATGCCTTCCAGTCCACAGATCAATGTGCTATATCTGGCCCCAGGACAAGAAATCATCAGTCCAGAACAATTTAGAGCATCAAACCCAGAGATATTGGCTACGGGAGCGGGCACACAACTTGCGAAAATGTCACCCTCGATGCTAGTAAAATACGGTACCCATGCGTCTCTTATCGAAGCCAAGAACATGCTGTATGTGGCTGAGAGAACATCAATACCCATCCCAAGACTATTTGCAGCATATGCATACGGGCCTCTAGACCGAGACGTCGACGACTTTGGGAGTGTCTACGATACATATATCTTTATGGAGTTCATCGAAGGCGAAGACCTAGGAAAGTCATGGGGAAAATACACCCCTATTGAGAAGCAAACAATCTCGACAGACCTAAAGAAGCACATAACGGAGCTTCGCTCTCTTCCACCAGCCAACTACATTGGATCCGTATATGAAGGACCAGTCACTGATGTTATATTAGAATGGTCTACAACTTCCCGAGGTTAGTCATCACATCTATATCAGAGAGTTGATAGCGATATTTCTAACTAGGTATCTAGGTCCGTTTAAAAGCGAAGGAGACTTTAACGCTACAATTGCCGACACCTTTATCGCCAAATCAAAAGGCCAGGTTGGCCCTTACATCCGTGGCATGGTTAATACACATAAGCATGGAATTGTCTTTACTCATGGGGACCTTAGACCTGACAATATTATCGTCAAGAATGGTCGTGTAATAGCAATCGTCGACTGGGAGATGGCAGGGTGGTACCCAGATTATTGGGAGTTCGTCAAGGCACTTCACCTCGAAGTGTTCACTAATGACTGGGCATCACATTTACTAGGCGTTCTTACACCTTATTATTGTGAGCAGTTGATACATGCCAAGTTAATGAGTGTATTATGGTAGCTGATAATAAAGCTACCGCTAACAATGGAGAGGCCGAGCGTAAATCCAATTAGAAATCTTTATGCATTTATAAAGCGGAATGATTTTTGTG